CAACAGATGTGTTTTATCCCAAAGTATAAACTCTAAAGTACAGGCAGGCAGAGTTGGCTTGTGCCTGTTATGTAGGCTATCGTGCCTTTTTTTTTTTTTTTTTGAGATGGTGTCTCACTCTGTTTCCTAGGCTAGAGTGCAGTGGCATGATCTCAGCTCACTGCAACCTCCACCTCCTAGGCTCAAGTGTTTCTCCTGCCTCAGCCTCCCAAGTAGCTGGGATTGCAGGCATGCACCAACATGCCTGGCTAATTTTTTTGTATTTTTAGTAGATATGGGGTTTCCCCATGTTGGCCAGGCTGGTCTTAAACTCCTGGCCTCAAGTGATTCACCTACCTTGCCCTCCCAAAGTCTATTATGCCCTTTCTATTGAGTAGCCTGCAAGAGTCTCAAAAAAATGTTTATTACCTATTTATAAAGTATTTCTTTGTTCAAAATAGAAATGATTAACTCTTAACTGAAGTAAATGATATAATTATCTGAAGAACAGAAGGGAAACCTTTCATGCTCAAGAAGGCAGAAGCCACATCCTCAGCGTGAGGTTTCTGCTTTTCTGGTTAACATAAGTAGTAACTGGAAAAGTCTACTTGAAAGCATGAGCTCAGCTACGTTATTTTGGACACCTTTGCTTTTTTTTTTAATCATAAACTGTAATGTTGTCTTCCTCTTCATGGTTCAACCTTTGCAGAAATGAGTGGAGTTAACCTACAAGTTGTAGGAAGGCATTTGATGACACAGACTTGAAAAAAGTAGCTCATTTACCCACAAGTCATATCGGTGCTTTGAAGAAACAAACACTGCCGCAGTACCCTGTTAAAAGTGTCAGTCATAAGCTCTTTACAAAGGTATTGCACCTCCAACTTTTAATTTTCATTCCCTCATGGAGAGATAAGCATCTTCAAAAGAGCCCAATTGCCTTATAGGGCTTTCAAAGGAAGCTCCAGTTTTGAAACACTGCTCATTGCTTTATACAGTCCCCCCATTTGCAGGAAATAAAATTGTCATCCTAGTCCTTTTGGCAGAAGTTATACAGCATTTGGGAATACTGAATGTTTTCTGTTGAAGTTCGTCTTACAGACCTTAAAAATTCAACAAGTCATAATCATAACCCAGAATTAAGCCCATGGTATACAGCAACAGCTGGGGTCTGGGTGATAGAGAGGGAAGAGTCCTGCCATAGCTATCTGCGAGTTTGGCTTCTGGTTCTGGGTCTGGTACTCACTTGCTAGGTGATTCAGGGCCAGTCTTTTCTCAGGGAGCCCCAGTTTCCTGCCCCTGCCATGTAAAATGAGCCTGATATCTGCATGATCACCAAGATCTTTCCCTGCACTGACATCCCATGACTCCTGGCAAGTCAGGGGAGCTAGCCTTTTCTAATGAAATATTAAGCAATCAGGACTAGACGTCTGGGAAGTCATCTCTTCAAACCCATTCCTTCCAGGCTTTCATCAGCTGGCCCAGAGATGATATTGTTCCTATTGATCCTGTTTCTAATGCTCCTCCATTGACCTGCTTTCACATCTTTCACTCTCTGAGTCTGAAAGTAAAGAGCTGCTGCCCCATTTTTACGGAACATGTGTATTTCCTGTATGTTGTAGTTTTATACTTTACCCTGGCTCGTGAAAAGAAAAAAAAAGCTAAGGATTTATTTTTTCTTTTCTTTCCTGTTGAGCAAGCGGAAATAGGCAGGGTATAATTTAACTTGGGTTAATAAAATGGCAGTTGACTCCTTTAACTGAAAATACCTATACTTTTTCTTTGTAGCTATTATTTATTTATTTAATTTTTTAATTACTATGGTTTTTTGAGATGAAGTCTTACTCTGTCACCCAGGCTGGAGTGCAGTGGCACGACGTTGGCTCACTGCAACCTCCGCCTCCCTGGTTCAAGCAATTCTCCTGCCTCAGTAGCTAGGATTACAGGTGTCTGCCACCACATCCAGCTAATTTTTGTATTCTCAGTAGAGACAGGGTTTCGCCGTGTTGGCCACAGTGGTCTCAAACTCCTGATCTCAAGTGACCCACCTGTCTTGGCCTCCCAAAGTACTGGGATTACAGGTGTGAGCCACTGCACCTGGGCACTGTTATTTACTAAGCAAACCCATGGCGAGCACTGTGTTAAATTCTCTCTCTAAAGACATACTATTTAAAAGCTTTAAATCACCATGAAACATAGGTGTTATTGTTCCCACTCTACAGAAGATGAGACTAAACTTCCAAAATATGAAGGGACTTGCTTAGGGTTGCTAAGTGATGGACCTGAGATTCCAATTCATCCCAAAGATCCTAATCACAATATGCTTAAAACATTTTGAAGAGACGTAAGAAGGGGTAATGCTTCCATTTGTAAAACAGTTTGTTGTAAAATTAAACTCATTTTGAGGTATTTTTTAAGCTTACCACTTGAATATTTATATTTCATTAGAATTGGGCCTGGTGCGGTGGCTCACACCTGTAATCCCAGCACTTTGGGAGGCCGAGGCGGCTGGATCACCTGAGGTCAGGAGTTTGATACCAGCCTAGCCAACTTGGCAAAATCCTACTTTACTAAAAATACAAAAATAGAAAATACTCTACAAAAATACAAAAATTAGCCAGGCATGGTGGTGTGCACCTGTAATCTCAGTTACTGGAGAGGCTGAGACAGAATAGCTTAAGCCCAGGATGCTGAGGTTGCAGTGAGCCAAGATTGCACCACTGATCTCCAGCTTGGGTGACAGAGCAAGACTCGGTCAAAAAAAAATTATTAGAACTGTTCCTGGCATAGAATAAGTAGGTACTTAATTTGGTTGAACAGATACTTGGATTTATAAAAACAGGATTTATATGCGGGACCTCACTAAGGGGTTGTTGGCAGAATTAGCAGTGCACCTGTTGTATGTTGAGTGTGACAACTTCTTTTGCAGGTTCTGTGTTTGCAGTTGACCTGATGCAACAGTCGTGTGCATGGTGGCTATAGGGGCCGCGGTTCTTGGGACACTAACGCACACTCTGTCCTTAAAAATACGTTAATGGAAAGACTGCATCTAACAAACCGAATGTCCCTTTTGGCATGTTTTTCAGTGACATCACTATCCTGTGAGGTTGACAATAAATTAGGCATAGTCCTTGTTCTGCTCTGTTAGCTGCTCTGAAAGAAACCGGACTTTCATTTTTGGGCTCTTAGACAAACTTGGATTTATGTTGGCAGAGCATAGGGCTATTAATCAAAATTGATAGCACTTATAATTATAGCTACATAGGGAAATACTGTTTTTAGGGTCAATTTTGAATAATCAGTGCATACATGGAGTAGAGAATTCAACAAATGCTAAAACTCTCATCCTCAGCCCTCACTCCCATTCACCCAGAAAGTCTCTTCCAGAATATTTCAGAGATATCTATATATATATAAGCACTTACATATTCATACATGCTTATTCTCCACAAAGAGTAACACATTTGAATAATTCCATACATTTCTTGAAAAATAAGGTTTTCTTTAAAGAGTGTACAGCACGTAGACATCAGTTAATACGTATTTTGTTAAATCCACAGTGAAATACCACCTCACATCAGTCAGAATGGCTATTATTAAAAGGTCAGACCAGGTGCAGTGACTCATGCCTGTAATCCCAGCACTTCAGGACGCCGAGGTGGGCAGATCACTTGAGACCACAAGTTAGAGAACAGCCTGGGCAACATAGATGTAAAAACCTCATTTCTAAAACATACACACACACACATACACACACGCATACACACATACACACACATACACACACACACACACATACATACACACACACATACACATGCATACACACACATACACACACATACATACACACACACACACATACACACACATACACACACACACACACAAATTAGCCAGGCGTGGTGGTTTGCTTGTGTCTGCATTCCTAGCTACATGTAAAGCTGAGGTGGGAGGATCGCTTGGGTCCAGGAGGCAGAGGTTGCAGTGAGGCAAGATAGTGCCAGTGCACTCCAGCCTGGGGACAGAGTCAGAGCCCATTTCAAAAAAAAAAAAAAAGAAAAGAAAAGAAAACCACAGATGCTGGAGAGGCTGTGGAGAAAAGGGAATATTTATACACTGTTTGTGGGAATGTAAATTAGTTTAGTTCAGCTGCTGTGGAAAGTAGTTTGGAGATTTTTTAAATAACTTAAAACAGAACTACCATTTGACCCAGCAATCCCACTACTAGGTACATATCCAACAGAAGACAAAATGTTCTACCAGAAAGACACGGGCACTCATACGTTCATTGCAGCACTATTCACAACAGTTAAGACATGGAATCGACCTAGGTGCCCATGAATCATGAACAGCATAAAGAAAGTGGTACACACACATCATGGAATACTATGCAGTCATAAAAAAGAATGAGATCAGCAACATGGATGCAACCGGAGGCCATTATCCTAAGTGAATTAATGTAGGAATGGAAAACCAAATGTGCATGTTTCCACTTAAAATCGGGAGCTAAACATTGGGTGCTTATGAACATAAAGATGGCAACAATAGACAATGGGGACTACTAGCTGTGGGAAGGAGAGAGTGGGGACAAGGATTGAGAAGCCAACTGTTGGGTACTATACTCAGTTCTTGGGTGACAAGATCATTTATATCCCAAACCTCAGCATCACACAATATACCCAGGTAGCAAGCCTGCACGTGTACCCCCTGAATATAAAACAAATGTTGAAAAAAGAGAAAAAATAATAAATATTTTGTTTAAAAAATAATTCACAGCCGGACACAGTGGCTCACACCTGTAATCCCAACACTTTGGAAGGCTGAGGCATGCAGATGGCTTGAGCACAGGAGTTCAAAACCAGCCCGGGCAACATGGTGAAACCCCATCTCTACCAAAAATACACCCCTGTAGTCCCAGCTAGTCAGAAGGCTGGGATGGGGGAATTGCTTGAGCCTGGGAAGTAGAGGTTGCAGTGAGTGTAGATCGTGCCACTGCACTCCAGCCTATCTCAGTAAAAAAGAAAAAAATAATAAAGAAAGAAAAAATAAAAAATAATTCACAAAGGCAACAGACAAGAGGGAAGGGGCGGGAGAAAGAATGAACATCTGCATGGTAACACCATCCACAGTTACACTCAGAAAGGTTCACCTAGGAAGCCAGGGTTCTAATCTTTCGTGAATTCTTCTGGTCTACAGTAGGAAGCTATATGAAATAGCAAAAGACCATAGGGCTTGGAGTCAAACTCACACAGAATGCATTCCATATTTATTAGCCCAGTAATCAATGAACTGAAAATTCTCATAGGCAACCACACAGCCTCGTGCTGGGCACATGGTAAATTTTACACAGGAATGACAGAAATTTCTGCTTTTTCATGAATCTTCTCTACAGTAGTGTGGCTCCATTTCAACTTGGGTCTTGTTGCAATAGTCTACATAGGATGAAAAAGCACCTGATGATGGTAGTTTTCCTCTCTCTGAAAGCAATGGCCAGCATTTACAGAGTATTACTATTGCCAGGCACTGTACGAAGCACTGTGCCAGTGTGATCACGTTTAATACTCATCGCGACCCTACTTTTAGATGAGTTACTATTCTTCCTATTATCTTTAGACAAGAGACATAATATAACTTGCTCATTGTTCCCTCCGGTAATTGGACTCTCATCTGGCTGACCCCAACGTGTCTGCTCGTCACAGTCTTGGCTTCCTCTTGTCTGTATCAAATGGTCTTATTCTCTGTAAACATAACCCTTGGACACTCCAGAAGAGAAATAAAGTTGTTACCACCCCAACTCAGTTCTGGCACATGTCCCTAAAGCTTTAGGCAGCTTTTAATGTATTACAACTATAAATAACAGGACAAGGCAGCCTTTGACCCCACATGTCAGAGATCCCCTATCATTCTTTACTGTGTTGGCCAGCAGGCAAGGGTTTTTATTGAAGTGCATTTTCTGGTTTCTCTAACTCCTGTCTCCCAACCAAACTATCCTGGAGAAGATCCTTGTCTTCTAATCTCTTCCCATCACAGCAGGCTTCCTACAATTCCTGCAGCATAATGCAGAAAGAAAGGGAGAAAAAGTGTTGACTGATATTTCTGGCAAACATTACTTAAGCTGAAGAGGAGCATTGCAGATTGACTATTAGACACTATGAGACTATTAGTGCTGGTAATGCCAGGACGCTTCCTTGTCAGCATTCCAGTTTCAGATTTTTATGACTGTTTAATTACCAACATGCTCCCACATTGCCAGGATGTGCCTCTTCCAAACCCTACTGGAAGTTCAGTGTCGATTACAACCAGCTTACATGCACTTCCTAAATTGTAGATCTTTAATAGCTTTCTTTATTCTATGGCCCTAGCAGAAATAGTCGAGATAATGGCTCTAAATTTCCCTTTTAAATCTTGTGTTTTCTTCCCATGTGCCATGAAAATGGAACTGTTTTCTTTCTGCTGAAGGGTAATTTTCCTGATAATGATATTTAAACAGGAGTCTATTTCAAAATGTCCATGTTCATCTTACATGTTATCTGGAGATTCATTCATAATTTTGTTTAGCCATTTGAATAATTGTGGGAATTACATTTTGATGTCAATGTTGAAAGACGAGTTTAATTCACAGAGGGTGAGTTTGTCAAGAAAATAGCATTGCTACAGAAATAGGTGGTTCTTTTATAGAGAAACAAATTGAATCCGTATCCCAAAAAAATGTATACTCACCAGTCAACAATGTCTCTGACAATGTCTAGGAAACTAGAGAAGGTATTCTTGGTGCTAAAATAATATTCAGGTTTTTAAATGGTAGCTAAGGATTTTTTTGGTAATGTAATGTGTACAAAAATAGATTTTTCAAAACTGAATAAACATGTTTCTTAAACAATGATGAGCAAAATATGTTTGCTTATACTGCACCAGCAAATGGGGAAAACTTTAGTTCCTGTTGAATACTTGGGAGAAACAGAAGCTCTCATTGAGGTGGGAAGGGAGAGAGGCCATTTCAATATATTGAGCACTGAACACCCCCAGGCTTACCTCCCACATGGTTATCTGTCAGATTGATCAGACTGGTTTGTAACAAGTCAACAGTGATCACTTTACGTTTATGGTGGCAGTGTTCTAATTTATTATCAGTACTAACGATAATGATCAATTTCAGATATTTTGCTAACGATATTGAGAAATTTTCACACAGCAACTCTTAAAAAAGCTCTCCTGTCTGGGGAGATGAAGGAGCTGCCTTAAGGTGAGAATACAGACTAGACAGCATCTTAAAAGTCCTTTCGGTCCTATATTAGGATGATGAATATTGTGTATGGTGGAACCTTTCCACAGGCATAATTGAATCTGTCCTTTTTCTGTTGTAGCTACTGTTGCCACCAACTCATTTCTTTAAATCCTCTTTTATTAGGTTGGTGCAAAAGTAATTGTGGGTTTTGTCATTACTTTCAAAAACAAAAACAAAAGTGGCTTCCAAAGCTCAAATCCACAGTAGATTAGCGCTTTGTACACAACATTGTAAGCTAATTTGTAGCTGAATCTTTAAAACCTGGCGCTTCCTTTCCATCCGATTACTCAGTTTGGGTTCTCCTAAGAGCAAGGTCTTGTTGAGAGAAGAACCCAGGTGCAGGGAGTTGATCTGGGAAGTGATCTCAAAAAGTGGCATGAAGGGCAGAGAGATTGATACAGGGAAGAATGCAGAGTCCATAAAGAATGAAAACTGAGCTGGTTACCACTTTAGGCAACTGGGGCTGAATCTGACTGGGGGCTCTTTGAGGAATTGTTCAGAAGGCACCTAGAATAATGATGCCCCCCACCTCCCATAGGTTTAAAGACTAGAGCATTATCCAGCAACCTCTCACCTCACCCCTCCTCTGCAAGTACCTCCTCCTTCCCAGCCTCACATTAACGCCTACATACTTGGCAAGTGGGTTCTGCAGTTTTGCAGAGAGTTCTGAAGCAGAGGAGCTGAGGAGCCTTAAGATAGGAAGTCCTCACTGTTTAAAGGAACTGCTCATCACATCTACAGCTAAAATCAGATGTGGTTCAAGTCAGGAGTGGTCAAAGAGATGAGCCATGGAATCCCATTAGCAGCTGCCACATTTTGTAATTGCTTGTACTCCCCTCCCCTGCATCTCCGCCTACCTCCCCACCCACTTCCCTCCTGCTCACACTCCACCTTGTGCATTTCACCCACAGTCTTCCATGGCCCCTCTAAGTCAGCTTGCCTTTCTCCTCAACCCCACCTCCATCTCCCTCCTGCATAACTTGTTCAACTGTGCAATTCTGCCACCCTGCCTTTTCTTCCTTCCTCTCTAGCTAAAATCATCTTTGTTTAGATGCCTCATCTTTCTTAGCTGCTTTCCATTTCATTAAAACAACATAAACAAAAACAAAAGTAGTTTCCAAAATTCAAATCTTATATTAGGTTAGAGATTTGTACACAACATTATGAGCTAATTTGCAGCTGAGTCTTTAAAATCTGGTGCTTCCTTTCCATCAAATTACTCAAACCTTCTTCCCCACTCCATGCTCCCCAGAAGGGAATCTCAACTAAAAATAGCTTTCGGTGTTTGAAAGTAGTAATGTGGTGTGGGCTGAGGAGCTCACCTTGTGCATGCGTGGAGAGAACTTTATTCTGAGAGTCTCAGGAGACACATACCCCTGCCTGGCAGGTGACACAAGATGATGGGACTCTGTGTTCTCTTGCAGCACTGAAGGCATGTAATGGAACTAATTTAAGCAGGCAGGCCTGGGCCCACGGCTGTCACTCATCTCAAAGCCCAAACTTTGTCAGGGTGCACAAGAGCTCTGACTGGCCGTATTACCCATGTGTTGGTCACGGTCCCCTGAAACAGGGCTCCTTTGCAGGGTACCCAGGTGGAAACAGAGCTCCTTTGCAGGGTACCCAGGTTGAACCTACACCTTCAAAGCCTTCTGCTCTCTTCCGTAGGTTTCCTCTGTAGCGTCAGAGACTGAAAAGATCATGGCAGGGCCTGAAGTAATCTTTTTCTTTCATGGAGAATAAGCCTGAGTTTCAGACCCTCTAGCTCTAACTCCATTAAGCATACCTCTCTTGAGTTGCCAACACATCATCCTTGCTTCAATAGCAGTGCTAATTAGGTTGTAGTATAATTCATCTGTTCATGTATCTGTTGCCTTCCCCACTAGACCAGAAACCCCCTGTGGCAGAAACCATGTCCTAGCAATAACAATAGCTTCCATTTATTGGACATTCAGTATGTGCTAGGTATTGTACTAGGGTTCTAAACGTACTTCATTTTCTTTATGGCAGTCCTGCTGGGCAGATATCCCCTTTTGTAAATCAGAAAATTTGAGAAAGCTCAAGTATGCCCAGGGATATTCAGCTTTTAAAGGACATTAGAGGAATTTGGGCCCAATCGCTTATCTATCTGAGCCAGTGCACCTAACTGATAAGCTGCACAGCCCCTTCACTGCTTCAGTATATGTGTTTCCTGGCCAAGAAACCAGCTAGGAGTGAATGAAAGATACACAGACTGGGTTTAGCAAACTCTAGGCTCATCTCACACATTTATTTAATTTCTGCACTTGGAAATGGTACAATCACACTCATCCTTCTACACTGAAGAAATGCCATGTTTCTTGCCATCTAAAAATAATTTTAATTGGTGTTTTGTATCGTTTATAGCATTGACATATTTACTTTTGGTCTTTTCAAAGTGTAAATCATATGTAGTATGTATGTGTGTATGCATGTATAAATATGTACATATAAAAATATGCCGTATATAGCTCCTTGGAAACTGCTTTGTTCATATAGCAACAACATAATGCCATGAGTATTCTGTTAAAGTGTTATTGCTGCAATATGGTCAGAACAAATGTGATTAAGTGATCAGATTGGAAGGGAATGTTGAAGTCATTACCCACCTTTATCTAAACTAATGGTCTCAAAGTTATTTTTAACTATGACTCATTTATTTCCTAAGGAAATCTATATAAAACATCAATAGATAGCATAAATAAAATGGCATTATGGTTATATTTATATGAATTTATTTCATAAGTACAGCTTTGTCAATTTACTCATTAAAAAGCCAGCCAATTAGAGTAATGAGGCTCATTCAACCAGACAGCAAATTTAATTGGAAGTTTGGGATGACAGTTGAAGTTTTACGGAAGCCTCAGCATCTTTTCATTGTGTAGGAGTGGGAGGATCATGGTCCACATAGGTATTTGTAAGGGGTCATCATTATTTAACAGATGCCCTGCAATTAGCCAGATACATGCTGCAGAAGCTTGATTTCAAGGTCTGCACAAAAATGAGTTAACCTTGTAACAGCACCCAAACTTTGATGTTCCAACATATCCAAGTTTTATGTAAGACACATTTAAATTCACAGGTGCCACTTTTATTACCATTTTTTAAATAGTCAAAAGCAAATTTTCATTAAAAAGTGAAATCTTAACCAAATATTTGTACAATCCCTTAAAGCACGCTTTATAGAAGTCTAGGGTTCCATGACACCCTAGGGTTTTCTAAAACTCAGCGAGGAAATCACTGAGTTAGCTTTCCCTAGAAGTCTAATATATTTATAAAAGCTACAAACAGGGAGGCTACCCAGGCTGCCTCAGGAATACACCCAAGTATTTAAATCCCCTAATGATGTTCAGACAATTCCTTCTCATGCGGATTTAAATCTCCTAAGCTGGTACCTAAGCTTAGCATGATATATAGACAGCTCTTGGAAAAGACTTGTCGACTGACAGATGGAGGCTGCTGTGGAAGGGTAAGGGAGATGATTGGCCACTCTTCTTCTCGCCAAGTAAATACGATCTAGTCTCCCACTCGCTTCTGACTTGGCACTGTGATTACCATGATTAGGCAGCATCATTTTCTGATTAGCTCAACATCCTGCCGAAACAATAATGGCTTCTTCCGGTCACCTCTGCATAGAAAATTTTCGACTGGATACATTTTCAGTGTGGGTTTGTAAAAGATACTGATCAATGCTTTTCATAGCACTTATGTGAAGCTCTAATACTTCTCGTCATAACTCAGTATAGGATAGAGGTCATTGCACTGGGTCAGGCAGAAAGAGAAAGCCAGTAATTTGACTTGTCCATTTGAGCCAGTAATTGAATGTTCAATAGTTGTCTGGGGAGTTGGATTCATTTGCAGCAGATAAAAACAGGAGATGGTAGGCAGATCTGGGGCATACGGAAAAGACCCAGTTGTCAGAATAAGGTCACAGGGCCGGGGAGTCAGGAGGACTTGTTACTCACTGGCCGCGTGTTGTGCTAAGGACACGTAAATCTATCCTTTCTGGCCCATATTAGGCTCGTGTGAGAACAGGGAGGATACTGGACCCTCAGACAGGGGCCAAGGAGGGAGCTGGAGGGAGAGGAGAGCCTCACTGTCTGGGGAGCCAGAGAAGGTCTAATATGCTCAGAATTGGTCAGCCCCAAAGTACATATGGGAGTTTTCTCCACAGTCCTATGACATAGGTTATTTATGTTAGATAGTCAGCTTTTCCTCATCTTGCTGCCAGCCCCTTTGCCCTAAACTGTATATTTATTGCATCACCTATCACCAGAAGGTTTGATGGTTGTCCAGGCATTTAAAATAATTTCGAAGCTGTGTTCTAATCCTGGAAGAGAGTATACAGTTTTAACCTGTCTCAGGTTCTGCTTTTGGGAGAAGCCAAACCAAGACAGTGAGTTCAACCTTCTTCAACTGAAAGTCATAGTTTTGAGGGTGAATTACAGGGAGCAATGAGGGATGGCAAAGACAGCCACCAGATCAGCCATTTCAACCTAATCAAGCTATACAGACTTGGATCAACCAAGTATCCATGTTTCTAAGAAACTAGGAGTGTGCCTGAGTAGAGAACCTGTGCACAGCACAGTGGATGAGGGTTGAGTTTGGTAGATTGGAACCCAATTGTGGAAAACTTTGCTTATCAGGTGTATTATTCAGGGTTCTCTAAAGATACAGAACTAATATATATATATATATGTGTGTGTGTGTGTGTGTGTGTGTGTGTGTGTGTGTGTATACACACACATACACAGAACTAATAGGAGATATATATATATATATATATATATATATCCTTCATTGCTCTTTCCTAGTCACAGTATCAAAATCTCTCTCTTACATGGGAAGAAAGACATCCAGAGAAAGACTAAAGCCTGTATGTGTATAAATAGACAAGTTTATTCAGCAGTATTAACTGACACAATCACAAGGTCCTACAACGGGCCATCTGCAAGATGAGGAGTAAGGAAGCCAGTCCAAGTCCCAAAGCTGAAGAACTTGAAGTCCAGTGTTCGAGGGCAGGAAGCATCCGGCACAGGAGATAGATGTAAGCTGGAAGGCTAGTCCTGTCTGATCGTTTCATGTTTCTCTGCCTGCTTTATATTCTAGCAACACTGGCAGCTGATTAGATGGTGCCCACCCGGATAAGGGTAGTCTGCCTTCCCCAGCCCACTGACTCAAATGATCTCCTTTGGCAACACCCTCACAGACACACCCAGGATCAATATTTTGCATCCTGCAATCCAATCAGGTTGACACTCAGTATTAGCCATCACACCACATTAATGAGTTCCTTCTCTATCAATCCCTCTGCTATTGGACAAACCTTTTACCCTGCTGTTTGCTTCCGAGATGGTGAGAGAGTTTGGTTTGAAGCAGATGCCAATCAGTGACCTTCACTGAACTTTCCTAGTCAGAGTATCAAAGTCTCTCCTTTACATGGGAACAAAGAGAGCCAGAGAAAGACCAAAGCCCACTAAGAATGAAGGGGACAAAGGCCTCTCTTGTCTGATTCAAAAGGTAGGATGGCTCAGGGCTGATGGACAAGACACATCTAATACCTCTTTTCTTCCATCTCAAGGCTATCCGTCGTGGAAATGCTGAATTCCTCTTTTTTGAGGAAAGAGGGCTTTGTTTTTTATTTTACTTTTGTTTTCTCTAAACATGCCCTGCACATCCTTCCTTTAACAGTGTGGGGACTGAACAAGCAGCTTGTGACCCTGGCCCTATTTCTGTATCTAGAGCCACACAATGGAACATCTGTCTTGACCCTGGCTGCCTTCCACCCTGTACACCATTCCTGGCTATTTCCCATCTGTGCCAGGAGAGGGGTGAAGCTGTCAATATAAGTCAACTGTATGGACTCCTGCCCATTCTCTGCTGCAAGGGCTGGAAGCTTCCCCTTGATGAAGAAAGGCAACCTCAGTGCTTCGGAGGCTTAGCATTATTTGCCCACCCCAGAATCCATCAGGAAAACTGAAATTACAGAGTGTACATTGTGGCAAAGCTGGAATGAAATAGCCACTGATAAGCATGAGTTTTTGTCCTATTCCCTAGGCCACTGGCATCACCCAAGCATTCTTTCAGCTTAGGCTGTCTCTCTGCAAAGGGCTCTGTGTTCCAGCTCTCGACTTGTGCAGTGGGAGAAGAGTCTTAATATAGAGCGGCCCATTTGAGCAGGGTTCAGTGGGCTGCACCAGACTCTGGGATAGCAGGTGATATTTCATATTGCCTAGGCAGAGCTGAAAGGAGCATTAAACTGCATTTCCGTTATCAGTGAGGTCCTTAGTGGCCTGAGGATCAGAATCCAAGCATTCTAATCAGTCTGCCTAACATTTTCCTGGGCAGCCACCTACAAACCTATGATTAGTTTGCATAGGAAGTCTGAACCAACTTTCTTAAGGGAAATGTGATCTACAAGAATGCCTGGAGCATGATGAGCCAAGGAGAGATTCAGTGACAAGTTAAAGGGCCTTGTGCTAGGAACAAATCAGTTCTGGGGAACCTAAGGATTTCTGCAGAGGGGAGTGGCTCATTTGGCTGGAATACTGAAATCCATGAAAACTGCTGAAAAATCAGTAAGGAAATTTCTGTTCAGAGAAGCTCCAACTCTAGTCTTGGCCTTCAACCTCATGTGAATTATTTTGCAGACCCCAAACCACCTAATAGCATTAGGAAAAATCTTCCATTTCCTATGTTTAAATCGTAAAATTTTCTAAGTTTAGGTTGAAGAGAAAGGCAAGGACATCTAAACTGAATACCAATGTCATGCTTAGTTCCTCTGTAAGGTGCTGCCAGCTGACTTCCAGCCTCCATGGGACACCTTCAAAGAGAGGGAACTTGCTGCTTGTAGCTGTGGACATTTCTGATTACTACAAGTTCTCATTATCAAAATCCTGAACATCAAGCGTCCAAAAACAGGGACCTATATCTTAACCTCCTGCATTCTCCCCAGGTGAGGGAGGATGTGTCTTTGCAAAGTCAGCTTCTGGAATAGATGTCTTACTACAAGTACTGACCTTCACAAAAACAGAATATTTTGCCTAGAATGTTGGCTAAGGAATCAGCTTTGTTTTGTGTGGCTGTGTGAAGAAAGTAACATTTGATTATGTGAATAGTTTAGGGATAAAATTTCAGGTTACTAAGGCATGAAAACACTTTGAAGTATATTTCAAGTGAAAATTGTCAATAATTATAATAATAGTAGAATGCTGCACATAATATATTCTTCTCAGGTAGTCAGTCTATGGCAGACATGCTTGAGGTGGAAAAAATTATGCCTGTATTCATTCATTTATTTATACATTCATTCATTTATTTATACATTCATCAAATATTTATTGACTACCAACTATGGGCTCAGCCCTAAAGCAACCAAGGCTTCTAAGAAGGAGCCCAGAGTCTAACGGGAAAGATGATATAAACCACTCATTATGACACCGGGAAAAGATGCCAGGAGTTCTGTGGAACTGAGGATGTGCACCTGCATTAACTCAGAAGGAATTTCCCAGGGTAAATGGGACATCGCAGATTCATATAAGCTGGTTCTCTTCATTACCTCCTCCAGAATCTTCAGTTCCTTGATGAGTTACAGGTTTGGCTTTTTGGTTAACCCTGTCTCCAATTACTTTCTTAAAACATTCTCTCCACTGCTGTGTGAGTGGGACAGTATCATGAATAAAGGAGGAACTTCACAAACGAAACAAGGAGGGGGGAAAAAAGGAAAGGGTAAGAATATCACCTCTCTAACCTGTCACTTTAACCTCTGGCAATCGGACCATTTGGTCCGAACCAAGTAACTGTCTCAGTGCTGACATCACATGAAATCGTCACAGAAACTTCAGTCTCCCACCGTCTCACCCACCCTGTTTGTTTATCATACCTGCTAGGCATCCTCTTTAATTTATTACTTCTTTCAAAGAGACACCTTTAAATTATGCAACCCAAGTTCTGTTTTTTTTTTTAACCACTTATCCCCCGCACATATACAACTGGTGATGCCAACGAAAGCTTGCTATTGTTTCATAACCAGCCTCACTTTTTGATGAGAACCAAGAAACCTGAGCCTTGGATAAAAATGAAATGTAAATTCCACTGAAATGCAAGCACATTATCTTTCATTTACAGATAGGATAATAAACCAAATTCCCTTCTTCTCTCACAACAGCAAACAAACGCACGTTTTGACGTCTACTCATTAAGGCTAAATTTGCTTTGGAGAAGTGAATGGGTTAAAGTCAAGAGTGAATGACCTTGAATGCTTCTTATTAAAGGAAATGGAGCTATGCATGTAGAGGAAAATGAAAATAAGGGGAAGTTACGTGACAAAGGTTATATTTTTTATAACTTCTACTGTTGTATATTGAAAGAGAAATCGACTGTGATGGGGCTTTATGTCTTTTAGATACATGGAATTTCTCCAATTTGTGCTATTATGTAGCTCATCTTTTCACAGAAATCCAAAACTACTGACAGATCAAGAGGTTTAACATTTCAGATCCTTTCAGCATTCAGCAAATGCAATAAATATCAGAGGTGGCCTGTGTTGAATGCAAGAACAGATGTTTCTACAGGAAGCAGGATGGAAACTTACACCCACTGGCTTGCTGCAACTTTGAGGAGACTTTCTTCTATA